CGGGAGCAACACCGGCGCGTTTGCCGCCCATTGGATTGAAGCCCTTAGCACCGGGAGCAACACCGGCACGTTTGCCGCCCATTGGGTTAAAGCCCTTAGGCATGTGAAATATGTCGTATGGATACCGGGCCCTTTTGCTACCCCATGCTTGATATACTGTCCGCTTGGGTACCCCTATAAGGGTGTCGTCGCTGTTGTCGTCGATGGACAGTAAGGACCGCTTTCGGAGGCGCCGCCCGTACCAGTAGTCTGTTGGGGGGGCAGGAGTGTCAGGGTTTGTTAGTGTAGTAAAATTTTATAATGTTAAATATAGTGTATTGTATATAAATGTGTTTGTTTTTAAGCAGTTATACGACTATTATCCTGATTATATTATAGTTAATTTGTTTAAAAAATAAATATTTGTTGATTTTTATGTTTGATTGACATACCGGTAGTAAAGGGTATAGTTGTATAAAAGCAATATTATTAATGAATTGTTATATCATGTTATATTAACTAACTAGTAATTAAATTAAAAAATATATTTAATAATGCCAAAAGATACATAGATTGACCGATGCGCCATTAAATATATTTATATAATTTGATTAATCAAATAAAATGATTGTAAAAAAGTTACAGTTTTAATTAAGTTTATAAATTCTTTATACGGTATATTAGTTGAATTAATCATATATTTAGTAAATTTTTATTACAGCTTTAAAACAAATATAGAAATAATTAAGTCCACAATTATATAAATAGTCTCATCTATTTTAGTTAAGGTTTCACATTTTTATGTAAATTGTTTATCGTGATGTCGTAACATTATAACACTTTTGATAATTTACAAAGATAATGTAAAAATATATTATTAGTTTAATATTTTTATATTAAGCCAGAGATTGTCAATAGACTGTAAATAAGTTTCAAACTTTACTTATATGTGACATTTAATAAAATTTAATTTATTAATTGGGTTATGTTTACCAATCCAAATTTTTTAATTATAATTTTAAAATGATATTGTCTAGATCTATAAAAGTAACTTAACATCGCTAAACTTAGTAACATTATTAACTAAAATTTTTATAGATATAAGTTAATAATTGCTGTTAATAACTACACTATATTATAGTTTATTTAATTAAAGTATATTAAATTAAAAGTAAGAAAATTATTTTGTATTTATTACCAATAAAACACTGTACCGTATTGTTCAAAAATATACAATATGCATATTTTAAAAATAGTAGTTATATTGTAATATGGACTTGAAACAACTATAACAGTTTTTTCCTAATAATCATTTACGCTCAATTATTTTGCTATTTTTAATAAGGTCATTTACATGATGACTTTGTCTCATACTTTTTAAACAATTAAAAACTATATTTAAAAGTAGGCTTACCTCTAAAATCATCAATAGGTATGGCAAACACGTCATCGGCGGCGTCGGTATCGTCATAGGTGTCCGCAGTAGTCGTACTTTCCTTAAGCTTCAGTATATTCTCGGGTACCCTCCGGTGCTCCCTGTACTGGGCGGCGCCGGTATCTAACACGTCGAACCCATTGCTGGCCGCGGCTACCGGCGCCGTCAGCAGCAATCGCGTGGTTATTATAAAACATATGGATATCAATGCATTGGTTTGTGTAGTCGTAGTGGTGGTTGCGATGAACGGATTCATTACTAGTTATGTTAAAGTAGCAAGGTAATAAATTATATTAGTAGTTAATGATTAGTATTCATGTAATTTATCTCGGTTATATTACTTAAACTATGTTTATTCACGTATTTTGTATATACAGTAGAAAACAAATGCGATAAAACTAATTAATAACTCAAAAACACAAACGGATAAAAAGTTTTTGAATTTTTGTATTTAACTCTTATTTTCTATATTATTATTATAGATAACAACAAGACATTTATGTTTTATACACTATAAATGTAACACTATATCTCAGACATTGTAGTGAACTATGCACACAACTGTCCACTATCTACTGATCCTATGAACTAATGGTTGGAGAATTGTTTGTCGGAAATATATATCACAAACTTTTTTTTGGTTTATAGTCTTAACATTAGATGTGTTTTATATATAGATATGAATTCTCCTGAAATAGTATTTCGTTTGTTACGTATTGTTACGTAAACTCTCTCTCTCTCTCTCTCTCT